AACCTCTTTCGCGTTTACGCGTGGCAATAATCGGTGGTATCTCTAATAGCATCCAGATGGAGACATTATCGTTTGCACACGCGAAAACACACATTTTACGCGCTAAATTCAAACATTCGTTAGGAATTAATCTCTTTATTAGAAATTCCAATTGTATTTTTAAAACATATTTCATAAAGATACGACAATAAAATATGGTTTGTATTTAATTTTTCGAGAAAAAGGAAAAGAAAAGAAAAAAAAAAGAGAGATCATTTTATTGTTTGTCCTAAAATTGTCTCGAAATACATAATATGTAAAATACTTTAGAACTTTATTAAAAGATTTATAAGCAACTTTTAATTTTCTAATTAAATCGATGTTCTTTTTTTTTCTTTTTTTTTTTTTGGTTTTTTTTTTTGGTTTTTTTTTTCTTAATCAAAAGGAACGAAAAAAATATCCGAGCTCGTGTTATAATAATTCTATTGAACATCCTTTAGTTATCTTACTTTGTCATTTAACTTGGATGCACTTTTATTCGAAGAATTATTGCGCAAAAGATATTTCGGTGCTATTGTATCGTAAGCAGATATTATCTTTTTCTTAACAAATATTGGGACCGAAGTTACAATTTTATCGACTTCCGTTTGGGACTCTAATTTTTCCATTGTAAATTTACAACGATTAAATGCATTACGATTTATGGTATTGGATTCTGATGTACGCGGTCGAGTTCTGTTTACCGAGGACGTTGATGAGATCGTGTTCGTATCGGTTTGAGTTACCTAAAACAAAACATTATGTGAATGTTATATTTTAAGAGATATCAAGAATGATTAAAAAAAAAAAAAAGTATATGGAAGGAAAAAGAAGAAAGAAAACAAAAAGTAACAAAAAATAAACTATCATACAAGCTAATGTGTGCGCGTAAAAAATATTTTAACATTTGTTCAGTACCAATGATAGAAATAATTAGATTATTAGTATAAAAAGTATTTGAATGAGGTAAGGAATATTTATAAAAAAAAAAAAAAAAAAGAAAGGAACAATGCCGACATTAAATAAATAATTACGGAATGTGTCGAACGTCTTTGTTGTCGAATCGTTTCTCTCTTCTCACGTATTTCAGACCATCTCTTGATAGGATTACGATGTACTACGTCGGATTGAGGAGAACTGGAAGATGCTTGAGAAAAAGAAATTCTTGAAGAGGTAGGCAATAAACGGATATTCGTTTGACGAACGGCCAATCTGCTCGTTTGCTTCTGTTCATTACTGAAGGACAGAGAGATGAGTGAAAAAAAGAGAAAGAGAGAGAGAGAGAGAGAGAGAGAGAGAGAGAGAGAAGAGAGAGAGAGAGAGAGAGAGAGAAAGAAGAGTGGAATGAGAAAATCATATAAAGGTTTCTTTTTATCCCTTATCATTCGATTGATTATAGCTCTCACTATCATTACCTTTTGTCGGAGTACTTGTTGTGCATTGGTATCGCGTGTTCAACGAATTCATTCTTCTTAAAAACTTGCGGTTGTTGTGGATTCGACAATGGTAAAAAAACATTTTTGCAAGTCGTACAGGACGTATTCGAATATTTCTGAAGTTTCGTAGAATTTTTAACATCACCGAACGACACGCTTTTATTGTCCCAACATTTTTTATTCTCTTTGAACGGAGTTACTGCACAAACATATCCAGTCGATTTCTCCTCGGACTTTGTATAAGGTGAATATCTCGATGGTATTTTGTAGGTCGTCGTTGTCCCACCGATTGTTGCGGTTCTATTGTGAAATAAAATAATTATATTATCGAGAAAATGTTAAGATACATGTTAATTCGTCGTTCATATTTCATTTCATTATATATTTCTTTTTCTTCTTTTTCTCTCTTTTGCTTTTTTTTTTTTTTTTTTTTTTTTTCTTTACCTCATCGACGCAGTCGTCGAATACGATTGTTTCATGTACTGCGACGGTATATATCTGAGCAATGAGAATGATCCTGTGTGACGTGCGTACATAGCAGCAGCTTGACGTGCCTTGTGCGATCTAAACGTTAAGGAAAAATTTTTGACGGTAATCATAATTTTGATTTTTGATCGTTTTATCGATCAAATTGAAAAATAATCGCTAAATCTTTGTGCGATTGTGCCGAATGAAAGAAAAAACAAATTTTGATAATTATTAGGTTGGAAACTATGAAACGGGCGTTTAATGAAAATAAAGAACTAAACAAAAACGCCCGTTTCATAGTTTCCAACCTAATAAAAAAGAATAAATAAAAAAATATTTAAAAATTAGCAACTTCTCTCTCTCTCTCTTTCTCTCTCTCTCTCTCTCTCCCTTTCTCTTTTTCTCTCTCTTTTGGGTCCCGTAGAAAAACGTAAAAGGATATACGTTAAGTATCTTTCGAATGAATTTTTTTTTTCTATAAAAAAAAAAAAAAAAAAAAGAAAAAAAAAAAAAAAAAAAAAAGACAAAAGAGGGGTAAAAATAAAAAGAAAAGGAAAGAAGAAGAAGAATAAATCGATGGACCGATGTCCTCGCGACGACGTAGGCGGATTAACGGTCCTCCAACGAAGAGAAATAAATGCAATTTAAAGTTTACGGTGAATGGTTTCATTCCTTACGACTCTCGTACTTGATATTATACATGCCGCCTATTTCGCCGTACTTTCGTCGAATAATTTCCATCTCGATCGTATTCCGATCCAGGTGAGTCATCTTGGATATCTCAGCGATTATCTAGAACAGTGGAAATTCATAGACCATGCGTCATTATGTTCTACATATGTATACGCGTGCGTGTGCGTGTGCGTCATTTTATTTATTTTATTAAAAGCTTTAAAAAAAATGTAGATATTATATATTTAAAAAATCAGATTTATATGTATTTCGAAAATTATTAATCCTCTATGGGCCCATGTAACTTTCAGGTCACATTTTAATTTATCGAGATTTTATCAAATAATTATAGCTTTTTTTCATGAAATGGCGCATAAACAAAAATTAAAATTAATTTAAAACAAAAATTCGCCCCATAGAAGGTTAATATATATATCTATGCATAATTATTATTAATCGTAATAAATGTATTTCTATTCGTATTTGATATGATTCGATCCAATTCGATCCGATTCGAATCGATCCGAATTGAGTAGAAAATCGTATTCTATTCTGTTTGAAATGAAAGAAGTGTGTCTTGTCTTATCGAATATCTTTTATTTCTTTTATTTCTATTTCGTTCTATCGAAATATTTCAAATTTACGAACGTTCCTTTGATTCTGGAGAATAACAATTTCAATTCATAGTAACAAAATGTAATCTCTTTTCACGTATGATGAGTGCGTTGCACGTTTTAATACAAAGAAAAAAAAAAAAAAAAGAAAAAAGAAGAAAAAAAAGAAAAAGGAAAGTCAAGAAAAGATTGTCGTCGTACTCGTCACAAGTGTAAAAAGCTCGTCAAAGTAACGTAAAAATGACATTAACATTTCAGATATAAGAAACATTAATTTATCGTATTAAAGGTATTTGAAATATTTGAGATCTCCATCGTAAAATAATATTAATAAATAAAGAAACGGAAGAAATGGATTACCGTTTTTTGATCGTTCACGTCTAAATCAGCCTCACTTGCAATTCTTGATACATTCCTAAGCTTGCAAACGATCCAAGGATGATGGCAAAGTTCCTGGATCGTGATCCTTTTATGTGGAACGGGCGTAAGCAATCTGTTAATCAGATTCTTGCAATCATTCGACATCCTCGACATGTTTTTCATTTGTAGGGCCGTTAGACCCCGGTTTATTTGAGCCATTAACCTTCGCCGACGTTCCTCCGATGACGTCTGTTCGTCGCAAGGACTTAAAAAGGGCAGCCGACCGGTCATCATTCCGTATAAGACGACACCACTGCTCGATATTCGATTTGAAATCTTATTATTTGTGATCATTAACATACCAATGAACAACTCTTTTCTTGTATCTAATTTACTTTTAAACATATTCCATCAGAATTTTGTTACATTTCTTTTTCTTTTTTTTTTTTTTTGGTTTTTCTTTAACACCCTTACATTGAACCTTTAACTACATCATTTTTTTACATTTTTATATCGAATACGTGAACGTTTTTTTTTCTTTTATAAATGAGTGACACAAAGAGAAATAATTTTATTTAAAGTATTTAAATTTACTATTAGACATAAATAATATATCGTGACTCTGTTGCGCCTGAAAATCAGGCAATACTTCATACTGCACGTCGATAATTGTATCTACGTGAGCATTTCCGTCGGTAATATAATTCAAGTTCTTTTATTAATTTGTAATAGCACTCTCGTATGATAAGTTGCATACTATAGGAGGTACGTGTATGACAAGGTTATCTATACTCAGGCGCAAAATTTAATACCTTTATATTTTTATATGATCCCAATTTAAAATCTTTTAAAGACGAATTTTCCGAAATTATAAATTGTAATCTATATTTAATAGTTTATATATGAATGGATTTTAATGTGATAAGATTTTTCTTTTCTTTTGCAATAATAATGACGTTATAAAAGTCGTCACATCTTTATTCGACAAGAGTTAATTTATTATATTAATCAAGAATTTTTCCTTACAGACTCCAAAGATCGACCTCGGGTCCGTATTTTTTACCGACGACAAAAAGCTCTGGTGCTGCATATTCAGGTGAGCCACAATGAGTTTTCAAAGGATCCTCGCTATCGTAGATATTACTCAATCCAAAATCTATTCGAAAAGAAAGAAAAAAAGATAATTATTTTCCTATAATGAGAGATTTCTCGTTTCGATGATTGATAAACATAATTGATTTTATTATTGTTATTTACTCACCAACTATCTTAATTTGATCTTTCCGCGTATCTTGAAGCATTATATTTTCCATCTTTAAATCGCTGAAAAAAAAATGATCGTATAAAGGATTATTTTTTTTTTCTTTTTTGATAAAATTGTTCGAATCTAATCGTTATCATTATTATTTATGTAAAAGAAAAATTTTAAGAT